TTTTTTTTTTTTTTTTTTTTTTTTTTTTTTTTTTTTTTTTTTTCCTAATGAAACCCGGGATCGACGATTATTTCGGAGAAGATTCGTTTCATCGTGCTATCATTACCCATATATAGGTATTATATTGTACCTGACAGGTGTGTTTGTCGAAATTACTTGTTTTTTCTCGTGATTTTCCATGAAAGTACAACCGGTAATTTTATTTACTCTCCACGATGGTGTTTTCATAGCACACCTGTATATATATTATGTACAGCAACAACAACAAAGAGAGGGAAAACCGACAATTTGCCAATCGAGCCAATGAATTTCGCCAACCTGTGTACATACCCTCAATGGGAATTTAAATTGAATTCAATTGAGAGCTGCAATTACGCTGATATACAATTAGCTCGATGTATGGACACGGGGCTCTTGGCTCCTATATGAGCGAACGATGATGTTTTTAATCCCAACAAGCAGACAATGATCAGCTGTGCTGCAATTAAGGGCTCTTTCGGTAGATATCAAGGGTCCATACGTGATGCAAAATCACTAGTATTTCACGCAGTTGATGTATATAATGTATACATGGTTCGACCGAAGAGCGCTCCTTAAACGAAGAACACGAGTGTAGAGCGAAAAGGAGAGGAGAGAGGGAAAAAAAGGAAGAGGCGAGTCTTCAAAGCTGGGCGAAGAAATGACTCGAACAAAACGCTCGGGGGCCCAAAACATCAGCGACGAAAGCGCAAGAATAAATCTTCCACGCGCTTTAGGAGACAAAAAAGAAAAAAGAAAAAAAAAAAAAAATCGAGGGAGCCGCTTCTTCGCGCTCGTCATTTCTGTATACGCGATGATGCTCGTGCTAAAATTAAAACGAGCTGCACGGGGATAACGTAGGTATTATTTGGTTTGCGGAAACTCCTCGTTTTCCGATTTCACGAATTTCTTGGACGATAACAACCTAAAAATTCAGCTACCGTAAGAGCACAATTTCCTCCACCCCCTCAGATACTCTCCCCCGACTCCGTATGGCTTAGCATAATTCGATTTTAAGTACTTGGGCCTCGGGGCCCTCTGATTTATTGTTCCCATGGAAATATGAAAGCCCCGGAGCCATGAACCATCGGACCGCCAAAAAAAAGGCAGCCCCGCACTCCATATTATATGTATACTCGAAGAGACCCGATAGGGAAAAGGTTTTTTTTTAATTTTTTTTTTTTCTCACTCTGCCTCGAAAAGCTGGATGGTTGCACGATTCGGCCCGCATGAGACCCGATTTGTCGTGGCCCAAGGAAGGAGGGAGGGAGAGAAAAATCAAAAAGATTTCGGGGCTAGTCTCGTTCAAGAGTTCGTGGATGGAAGGCAATGGGAGACGGAGAACGAAAAAGAAACAGACAGACCGAGAGAGAGAGAGAGAGAGAGGATTTACGGGTGACGTGATGTTACATGTGTTTCGGATTGTAGATTTCCGGTTTGATTGCGACGACGCTGCAGAGGAAGGCCTTTACTCACACGGATCAACCTGATCGCGGGCAAAGAACAGTTTTTTCATACGTGTAACTATGGCCCCACCACTGAGTCAATTAAAACTCGGCGCGGTTTATCGAATCGCGTGGTTAACTTGACGAAACTAAATCGCGCACCTTCTGTATAACGATGTGACGTGTGTACACAAGATGAGTGTGTTTCAATTTGTTTGGAAAAAAAAAAGAGTCAATAGGAAAAAAAAGCTCGCAAGCTCCGAGGCAAAGTGTGTAGACTACGTGTAAGTGATGGTATGTATAATATAGGTAAGTATCCAACACGAGGTGGTTCCGTCGTGCCTGTGTGTACAGGGTCCTCGACCCCTCTCTCGGGGCCCTATACACAAGATCGCACATGTGGCGTGCGCGAGCCAATTACATCGTGCACTGCGCGGCCTATGGCTGCAATGTACCTATCTCGGATCGCTCTCGCGTATATATATATAGAACCTCGTGTTCTTCCTGATGGGCACTTTGTTATTTTCTCGCCCCACGTAGACCTATGCGGAAGACTGACGGAGGAGCGCAAGGTACGCGAGGTTGCGTAATAAAAAGCTTGCAGGTATTATATTATATAGTTGCAAGCTTGGGAAATACCAAAACAATAATCATTTTCCTGGTTGAAAGGATGCGAGACAACGAAACCCGGTATAACATCGATCCGTCAATGGTGACGAAAGGTAATGGAAAAATAAAGAATCACGTGGATGGTAAAAAACCAGATATCCTTTATATCCGTGTGATTGCACTGGCACGCGGATATTTTGGGTTTTCGACATGTCATATATACATATACTCGTGCATCCTCTCCTTCTCTGTATATATATATATATATGTAGGTAGGTACACACATATAGTTACATTCGATGGCGAGCGAGGGTGATTGAGTGTCCCGTGTATACATACGTACACCAAGAGACAGGAAGGAAAAAGTCATTAGAGAGTTTTTCAATCTGTCTTCTTCGTCAGTTTTCATTTCAAGGGACCGAAAATTCGGGAAACGCCGAGCTTTTTTAAAACGCGAGGTTAGCCGGGTGACGCGTTTCCTCTTTTTAAAAAAAAAAGAGCCGAGGGGGAGGGGTAGCTTCCCTCACTCTATACAGTAATCCGCCGTGTACCTATTTGTGGTGGTCGGAAGACGAGATTTTCTTGTTCCAATTTAGGTGTATTATATTACCTTACACGACAGAGCGAAAACAGCGAGTATATACCCTACGACATACAAGTACTTACAGGGATGAGGAGTAAATTTATAAACAGGGCACCATAGCTACGGTGGCGTTGGTATCTATTTGGCGTTTTCTCGAAATAGACGCGAGAGCTTTACGTGTTTTCCCGACCGCGTGGAGCCTACATATTATATACAGTGGTTGAAAAATCCGCATTACCACGCTCAGGGGGCAGGGATTATGATATTACGCGCTAACTAATGGCCACACCGGCTGTTTTGATGAGCTATCGGCTACGTGTTTTCTCTTCCGAGAGTCAGAAATACATTGCAACGCGACCCGAATCAAAAATAAAACACATCTTGGATGAATTTTCGGCCTCACTTGAAATTCGTGTACGCCCGAAGGAAATTAAAAAAAAAAAATTGATTTTCTATACAGAGTACGCGAGTCCTCTCTGGAAAAATTTTAACGAGCCCTTGCTCGCCATACCTGCACCTTGTGCCCGGAAATACTGATATCGAAAAATATATCGAGCCCCCACGCGGATGAGCGAGTGAAATCCGCATCGACGAGGAGCACCTCGTTATTGAAAAGCCACAGCTAAAAATCCATCCATACGAAGTGTGTACGTATATATGTATAAGAGATGTGCGAACCGCATTGGGAAGGATTTGAGGAAAAAATAACTCGTATAGGTGTAAAAACAAAGCCAAAAGAGTAGGAAGGAAAAAAGGAAAAGTATCGGCAGATGCATATATATATATATATATATACACTCGGGTTCTCCGCTAAAACGCGTGCATTGGAAAAATTACGGGAGAACCTCTTTCCCCTCCCCCCCGTTCCACTCTATACCCACCCGTTTCGAATGGAAAAAGAGAAAAAAGAAGGCTGCCGCTTTGGTTTTCCATCGGACTCTGCGTACCAGCTCACCGAGAGAACAATGGGGGGCTCTAATGAAGGGCCTCGTCTCTCTAAGAGGGTAGTGCATTCACGTGGCGCACACACGTTCTCCCCTCCGGGGCATACGTGCAGGCAGCATCCGCGCCGAGAGAAGAAGAAATGATGACCCAAGGCTCACACACACATACACTCGAAAAACAAAAAAAAACAAAAAAAAAGAAAAAAACAACATCCTCGCTTCTCTTGCTCCGAACATAATATATATTTAATACACCGTCGGTTTGGTGTATATTTATATATGCATTGTGTTTTGGCTCCGAGCAAAATTTCACGCCGGCGATCTGTATACGTATATAAAACGTATGGAAACACGCGTATAATATTATGCGAGTGGCTATATAATACATAGTAACAATTTTTTTTCTTCGGTTTTTTGTTTCTTTCGCTCTTTTTTTCTCCCTCCTGCTATACGTGTCCATACTGAGCTATGATTTCGAAACGGGGCACCTGATGCGTCTCAGCGGCACATATATAGGTGCAATGTAGGTACACTGGAATCTTATTGTTTGCCCAAAAACACACAATTCAACCGGATAGCAGTAGCAGTTTAATCGTAAGCCCGAAAACACACCGTCATTCAATGAAGGGTGAGCGCACCGTGGCCCATTATCTGGCAGATAGATGTACATTTGTCATAAAAATTCCCGAGAATGACAATTTCCATGAATGATCGCGCATCGAGCAGCGCTGCGTTTTGCGGATGAGCCCAACGCGCGACGAGGAAAAGAATAAAAAAAAAAAAATAAAAAAAATAAAAAGCGGGTGAGATGGGCGAAATTAATGGACCTCTTCCACTCTTACGGTAATTACAGAAAAAGGACGGACGTGATATCAAACTAATTACCCCATATACCCTCCCTCCCTCGGTCTCTCCACGTCTCTGCTGGCCTCGCGCATCTCACTTTTTTCCGTCCTCCTCCTCCTCCTTTCATTTCCATTCCGGCTCTTCATCCTCTCTCGCTCGCCATTACCTGCACCTTCAATCTCCGCCGTCTCTTTTCTCCTTCCTTCTTCCACCTCGCACTTATTGGTGGATACACGGCGTTGTCAAAGTGTTTTTGGGCATCTCCTTTTTTTTTTTTTTTTTAGAAGCGAGTGACAATAAACTATACCACACAACATTTACGTGTGGGTACATCTCGAGAGCGCACATGAAATCGCCCATCGAGTATACACGGAGGCTCTCGTTACACATATTTGCAGGGAGTGCTGTACAGTATAGGTAAGTATACATAGGCGTAACAGAATGACACGTATACGTATACGTATACGTACATATATGGCACTACAGTCACAGAGTGAATTTCTACTAGTAATAGTAGTGGTATGGGCCATTGAAAGGATAATTAGAGCTGCACGCTGAGACGGGATGGTTAGCGTTGTAGTGCACTTAACGGCAAATTATTCCACGAGATAGAGAGAGAGAGAAGGAGAAAGATTTGCATACGCGCAGTACCTATACTACGGGAGTAGGTACTTGTAATTCGAGGCAATTGATGATGCATACATATATGAGACTAATGGTTTTATTAGGCCGATGGTTGCCGGCATGCGAACTGCATAGTATCAAATTGAGGCTCGTTGAATGACGCTCGATTAATGATTATTTACTTATGAGACCGGGATGGGGCGAGCTTAACCGAGAGGGAAGACGATCTCGACACTGGAGGGAAAGAAACTTTGTCGATTGCCTTGTGTATAAATACCTGTAGGTACTTAATACTCGTAGGGATGAAAGGGTGCGCACGTACGACCACCGCGAATAAATGTCACTTAAGGGAGCCAAATATTTGACCACGGAGCGCCGCGCGCCATCGTTGTACAAGTATAATATGTACGAAAAAAGGCTCCGTCGCCGCGCTGCTCATCCGGCAGAGTCGTATAAATTTCACGATCGTAAAACCTTATTTTACAACTCAAACATGGCCCGGTCGCGTTATGAGAGCCAAACTCAAACATCATACACACACGCGCGCGTGCGCGCACCCGCGGTCCAAGTGCATATATATATATACACCTACTCCGCGAGTTTCCGAAACTATAGCAAGGCTCGATATTACGAGCCGCAGGAAGAGGAGCGCGTGTCTGCGGATGTACTCATATATATATGGGTACGTGCTCTGTTGACTTTTCCCAGCTTTTGCGCCGTGTATAAGGAGCCGGGCCGTTTTTTTTTGATGGACAGCGGATGAGGATCCCAGCGCGTCTATTTACACGGGACGAATACGTGTACATCCCCTCGCGCACGAGCCAAAGTTCCCCGGCGCGACATTCGATATACCTGCTCCTCGTGTATATTATATACATGTACGTACACTTTCTACTTCTTCTTCATGAGCCGCCGCTGCAGAGCTGATCCTGATTGTCTTTCCGTTCGTGGTGTCTACATCTATATGTGTGTGCTTTCCTCTGAGGGGAAAAGTTTGCTTAGTCGAACTGCGGCTCGGCTTTGGGATTTTTTTTTTTTTTCCCACCCCCCCCAAGAAAGAATAATAGGCTACGGCTCTCTCCGTGAGCTCCCCGCGGGAGTCTTTTAAGATCTCCGGCGTTTCCGTTTCGAAAGAATTACTCTTCAACTCGGGGATGAGCTGGGGCTGTTGGATCCTTGTGCGTATCCTTGCCGATTTAGATCAAAACAGCAGCAAATCCGAAAATCGGCAACGAAAAATCGCCTCAACTTCGGGTGTACCATATTACGGCACTTTTTTTTTAATTAGCTGCTCTCTTTTTACCCTTTGTTCCTCATAAAAGTGTATGCAGCTTATTGTCACGCTTATATTTTCAATAAATTACCGTGTCGTTCGTCCAAGTCCTTTTTAAACACATGTGCCTGTTTATGGAACCCAATAACCCGATATGCACGCATGAGCCATCATAACTTATCGGTACACATATATATAATGTCCTCGTCACTCGCACGTATACGTATAGTATACTAAATACAAAAAATAAATCCACCGAGAGATAGAGAGCCGGGCCCGTGTATATTCTTCTCCCCCGCTTATCTCTCTGGGGCGGGTACAATTCGTTTGTGCACTTCCTGTCGCTGCTTCTTCGTTAAACGGAGATACGGAGGGAAAAAACAAAAGAAAAAATTTATCCACACGCGGCAGCAGCGTCTAGCCGGGATGGCTGCGGCTGTATCCGCGCACTCGACAAATTGCCGGTGCCATTAGGCGCCCCTCCACCCCCCCCCCTCGCCGCCGATAACCTCCTAATAGCAGCTACCCGATAAAAACTAAATAAAAGCTCCGTGGCGCGCGCGAAATCCCCGGCGATTATCTCCTCCTCGTTTTGCTCATCGCTGCTTCGTCCTCGGGGAGGGAGGAGGCTCGCTTGATTTCTCGGAAGACGCGAGAGCAGGGGAGGGAACGGATCAGGGGGGGGGGGCATGCGAATGATCAAGAACCACGCGTTTTACGAATGGAGAGACGACGAGTCGTTCTTTCGTCGGCTCGTTTGGTCGCTAACACGAGTGTGGGCACCACGTGCAGGGAGATACTAGAGGGAGAAAAAAGGATGTGTACCTTAATACCTACGTATACTCTTGGAGTGGTGCACCGAGATACTATGTCAATACATATTACATAATCGGGTGCTCGCCTATATTGTTTCGGCAATCGTATACGTATACGATAATTTATAAATTGAAATTTTCAAAGAAAATTGCTCGGACGCGCTTTTTTTTACTTACAAACAGCGTACTTGCATGGAAATCGGTACTAGGTGTTCGGTTGGTGCAAACTTTGTAACTTACCTGTAACAAAAAGAAGAAGAGAAATATAATTACTAATCATTATTGTGTTAAAACATGTGTGTGTGTGTATATATATAAAGAGTCTTAAATTCATAGGTATAGATACATTACATTGCGTAACCATCCCCGTTAGCATAAATGCGAGGATCGGACAATTGAAATGTAAGGGATTCCCGGTAAGGAAGAACAATTAAACGCAGGTATACCTACTAGCAAATAAAAGAGAGAGTGGACGCAAGAATAGATAATAAAGAGAGCGCGCGTGCAGCGGGGGAAGGGGGGGGGGGGCGGAAAAAGAAGAAGAAGAAGAAGAAGCTTGAGCGAAGGAAATCGAGATAACGTCAAGAGTCACGGGAAAGAAAGAACGAAAAAGAGGAAGGAGGAGGTTGGTTGTCGAATTTTTATACCTACGTACTTCTGAGAAAACGTCCGTCCAAGCGGAGCCGATGCGCGTCCCTCTTTGTGCACGTGAAAGCGCACGCGGATGTCGGGGGCGATTGTACTTGCTTGCTAACTTGCGTGCGGCCTCGCGTAATTTTAAAAAGCGTGTGCGCGCGGCAGGGAAAAGGGACGGGACAAGCCCGTGTGTATCGTATGTACCTACCACGGCGTGCGGGAGAAGTAAACGAAGAAAAAAAAAAAATATCGACCGACGGACGCGGAGACGTAGTTGTCGTCAAAGGGAGACACACGGTGCACTTCAAAGATCATCTTTCATTCGATCGCGCTCGGCTTGCTCTTCGATCGGCACTCTACACTTATACACTCGGCCTGTCGATTGACATTTGAGCGCTTATATTTATAATACACATTATATACCAAAGTCTAAATACAACGTGGCCCAAGTGACGCGTTTCTTCGCTTTCATTACCTTACCGATCAAAGTGCAGCAGCGCCGATCTCCCTGTCTCTCTCTTACGGTAGGTGTGTACAGCTTTTAAGTAACAACCGACATACACGTCCAATTAGCACACTTATGTTTTTCCTTTCTNTCCGGTGGTGGCTGCACGCACAACGTACTACCTGCAACACGCGCACCCGCGATAAGTATGATGTTACAGACTCTTTTTGTTGGGTTTCACCCCCTTTTTTTTTTTTTTTTTTTTTTTTTTTTTTTTTTTTTTTTTTTTAATGTTAAGTTATAATGGCATATAATATTTCTAATGCTGAAATTGCCAATTACCGTGCTCTTTGAAAATTTTTAAAGCCTTTAGAGTAGAATCCAGTGGCGTTTCAAATTGACACAGAAGAACTGAAGCTGATGCAATTTTATCCTTTGCCTCTTCCACATCTTGTGAGGATAACAGTGCATTGGCACCTTGAACGATAACAATCGAATTTTCACCTGCAAAATAAGTACAAACATTCTATGTTGAAATTAACGAACGTGTAGTTATTGGTATTAAGTAGTTACCAGAGCACTACCTGAGTCAGTGACAATAATTTGTGCAATGCCAGAGTGAATGTCTGCACCCTTGATTTTCGCGTGCGTTGCGTCAATGTTTTGTGCCTGTAAATTTTCTATGTAATCCTTTCCTAACGAATCGGAGCCCAACTGCGTGAGAGAAAAACGTACTTGATCAGCTAATCATGATTTTTTCAAACGATTATTTTTAATCTACTCCGTTATCATCAAATAGATTGTAGGCACTTACCGACGTAACAAATACCGTTGATGCACCGAGTCTGGCTGCACTGACACACTGATTTGCACCCTTGCCGCCAAAACCCTGTTGGTACTTGGTACCTACGATTGTTTCTCCAGGCTGTGGTAAGCGACTTGTATATCTATATTTGAGTATAAAAATATGTATGATTGAAATTGCTGACACGTTTTTTTAGTCGCTTTTTTGCCTTCTTTATAAGTATGCAGTAAAGAACTAGTAAAAGAAGAAACTAAACTCACGTTATGAAATCGATCATACAGGAGCCGACCACAGCAACTGTTTTGGCCATTGTGTAAGTATCATGTGTTTTGGAATTTGGAAATAATTTAGAGCAAGCCGGTGAAAACGAAGCCGAGGTTCGGTCTTATCTGGGTTATGGCTTAGTAGTGCTGATAAGTTGAGCATTAGGTAAACAAAAATATTACCCGCATCACTGGAGATGATTAATCTTCACGATAACCCTTCATATTAAGTAATATTTGTCTTTTAGTTGAATTTTGTTTGTCGGCTGATCGTATGTTTGTTTATGAGTTACTGAAACTTAGCATCATGCAAGTAAATGAGAAATTAACTTGGAATATGAGTACCTATAGATACAATAATCAATTATTCATATTCTTATTGAAACGTGTCAAGTACTGGATGATAAATATTATCAACGGTAGTTTCGTGTTCTTTTCATTAAGTTTCTTCAACCATCGATGGATGAACAGGATGGACACAGTCCAGACTACATCAGCAGTCGTTAAACTAGTAAGTTACATGTCCTTGACAAAACCATAGTTGTGATTGTCAGAAGATATAAAGATTTAAGTGTAAAAGCAGTATCTTTTAGTTATTGTTAATAAACAAATTTTTCTTGAATGATCCATAATTTTTTATGCATTTACAATGGGTTTATTGTAGGTATGCAAGGTAGTTTTTAAATTCTTATTTGAAACATTACAAGGTGGAATAATAAAAATCAATTGATTTAACGTGTAAAAAAAACATTTATTAATATCGCAAAAAGAGTATCTTTGTACAAAGCTTCATAAGTATATATATATAATTTTTTTTTTTATATTTATTTTTGCAATCACTTCTTTTTCAGGGGACTTGCACATAATTAAGCAATATATTTGGGTGAAACTCATTTACAATATGTACAATGTTTATGTACAGTCTCAGTCACTTACTTGTGTAAGCAAATAAAATTCTTTTATAACAAAATTTGTCATGCTAATCATAACTTTTAGCGTGATTATGTTCATGAAAATCAACAGATATTTAATTATCAGTTAACATTTTTTAATCTAACATCTTATACATGCTAAATTGAACCATACAAAGATTCGCTGTGATGAGATATTTGAACGTTTGCGTGCGTTAATGTGTGACCAAATAACATACAACACAGTTATTTAGAGGCAGTGGATCTTATATAATTTATCAAGAATTTAAACGTAATTACAAAAGATCTTGTCACGTCAAAAGATCTCGATACATATAAAAGTTTTTTAACATTTATTTGGTCGCATAACATTTTTGGGAATAAAATTTTATAAAAAATTTCTTTAAACAAGCGTATAGCGTATTTGATGAAAGTTTCAACATCTATAATGTAGTACATTCTTCAAACATTTTCCTTTGAATTTAAAGACAGTATACATTCTTCTATGGCTGAATTTAATTATTTCAATATATAGTTTGAAGCCTACACAGTAGTACCATATGATAGTTTCAAGTAAAGTATTAGGTATACATGTGTTTTATTTTTAAATTACAGTATTACTAAACTCCTACAATATAATAGCCTTTTTGGTTTGGATTTTAATGTAATACGTTTGATACGTTTACAATGTAATAATAATAGTAATACATTTGCCACCGAAATGACAACTCCATCCCAACGAAACATGCTCGTAGCTATAAACAACAACGATCTTATTGTCTATTATATATATATAATATATTAGAAATGCAAATCTTTAACAAAATCTAGCGATTCCTTGCGATTAATCGTTCCCCTCATTTACTTATGCTCCTACAACACAACTTCAATGTATACAAGGTATGCAACACAACTCGCAAAAGAGATCAAGCCATGTATGAAGGAAAATTCACTGCGTGCAATAAGGGCGTAACATTCACGTACCTACTGGGAAAACACACAAACACAACATATTTACAAAATCAAACGCTCCAGCTGAGGACTATCCAATAAATAATCATAACGCCAAATACGCTTCCAGGGAGTCCGAGCTCTTTACTCCTCGCAGAGCTACATATATACCCTGTAACCAAACGACACTCACAATATACAATGCTAATAAGTAATGATTCTAATCACAAACTCAGAGAGAGGCGCCCCGATTACGGCACGTTGGCGAGGTCGTGCTTGAAACCCGGGAACGGCTGCACCGGCACGTGCTGGAACGGCTGGACGAGCCTCGTCTGCTGGGGACTGGGCCTGCCCGGCTTGCTGGGCGCGGCGATGAGTTTGCTCCAGGCCCGGCAGGTCTTGCCCGACCACACCCACATGCCCGAGGCCACCCCCGACAGCAACGCCAGGAACAGCCTGAGGAAGGCCACCTCCAGCCCGGCCGGCCTACGACTCGGCCCGCCCGGCACGCAACTCGGAGACGAGCGGCAATCTATGGCCGCCAGGAGGGCCTCGGTGCGCCAGCGCGGCCGCTCCCGGGACTCGTGCAGCAGACAACCCAAGCCCACGAGGGCCGGCAGCGCGTACACGAGGCCAAAGACACCCAGCCGCGTCATCAGGCGCTCGAGTTTTTTGGCGCTACGGCCGACTAGGCGCACGGCCCGACGAACGCGGATCAAACCGGCGCCCGCGGCTGTGCCGAAGCAACAGCCCACCAGCAGGAGGCTGGCGTTGGGGATGACCTCGAGCCACAGAGCAGAGTCATCGCTCACCCGGCACAACCCCGTCAGCTCGTCCGAGGATATGCTTCTGGACATGAGGGCACCTGTGAACAAGAAAAATAACGAATCAATTGTACACCGAATATGGTAGGTGCAGGACGCGGCTGGAAAGTAAAAAAATGTATGGACGTACCTCCCGACAGGAGGACCGGGAAGCCCCAGGCGGCGGCGTGCAGGTAACCGGCGATGTTGTGGAGGGCCTCGCTGCTCCACTCGTTCCGGGCGCTGAGGAGCCAACAGCCGCAGAGTATGGCCCACCAGACGCTGCTGGCCACGCCGAGGTAGTAGCGGGCCAGCCACCACAGGGTGCAAGTTGCGCTGCGCATGCCGTCGTTCACCGGTACGTAGCTCGGGCCGTCGTCTTGGTCGGCGCAACTGAGGGCTTCGGCTCCCACGGCGCCCCGGGCTATGTAGGCCACGGATATGAGGTTGTGGCAAAGCGCGAGGAAGACGATGGGCCGCTCGGGGTAGCGGAAGCGCGACGGCTCCACCCAGAAGGTCAGCAGGGTGAATAGGGTCGAGAGGAAGCACAGCCAGGCCCAGCCGACCATCCACCGCTCGGCGAAGCGCTTCTCGGCCGCGCGGTAGTACGCGTCCACTCCGCACCGGGGCACGCAGGACGTCTGCAAGTTTTCACGCTCATATTAGTCACTGTTTAGGATTTTTTGTTTTTTTTTATTTTTCCATTTGACTGTTATTTAAACCATGCGTACATCTAATGCTTATTAAAGCGGAAAAAAATAATGTTGTTGCAAACGAAGTAGTCCTTGCTCGCTGAGCACAACGATATTATATTTCACTGTTATTGATAAAAGCATCAAAAGGACTACTTCTTCATATAACAACATATCTAAAGGCAAGAAAGAGCTATTGAAAAAAAAAATTACTCCCAAACTGCCACCGCTGATTCTTGCCCTCACATGTTGGTATTGTATAATTAGCGAAAAAATGCATGCAGCACATAATTATAAGTATAAGTATGAGTAAACACAACAACAACAACAACAATTAAGTATACATTATGTAGAGATAGAGAGTATGGTTATAATTACCACGAGCATGAATGCGCGGATAGAATAATGCGAAAAACTCACAACGTCGACATAGGGCGTCTCGACAAAGTGAGTCGGACACTTTTGGTGGGGATTAGCCCGCGGGGGCAGGGGCATGGGCTGCATCGGCTGCACCAGGGGCCACTGGGGCTGTTCCTTATCGTTTGTATCCTGTTGTTGCTGCGGCTGCTCGTTTGGACGATCGGTCGACCCGGGTAGCTCCGCATCTAAACTCTCTTCCGGTGGTGGCTGCACGCACAACGTACTACCTGCAACACGCGCACCCGCGATAAGTATGATGTTACAGACTCTTTTTGTTGGGTTTCACCCCCTTTTTTTTTTTTTTTTTTTTTTTTTTTTTTTTTTTTT